ACCTACAGCTGATGGCTTCTGTCAAATTGAATCTAAAAGGCAATAAGACTAGAAATTTGTGGATTCTGGTTTGACAAACAATGTGGTCATCAAAACACATTAACCTACTTGTGACACTTGATGGTGCTATTTATTCTGATTCGACATTCCATGGAAATGACATGCAACCCAAGAAACACAAAGCTAGTGTTCCAACTTCATCTTATAAGAAAAGAGCTACATTAAGCCCATTGTTGATGTTGGTACGATAAAGTGTGAGAGAATGAAAAGAACAGAGATGGAAAATCTAAAAATTTCGGAGATATTGATTTGTGATTATGTATCAATTTTAAGTAGTAAATAACAATCTCAATCAAACAATCATGACAAATGTGGAAAAAAAAATCACAATTGGAGCACCTCTAATTGTGACAAACAAACCTCATGTTTTTGTCCCCATTCAAAGTCCAATTCAACATGGATTTTTGAAGTCATATCCATTCCACCATTCTGTAGAGCTTCCACATTTCACATCTGACCACTCTTCTTCTTTGTTTTTCTGAGTCAAGCAATGCTCTATCATCTACAATGATGTCTATTGCATGCAACTCTTCTTCTGAGGCCTTGAGCTTTGTGGTGACATTTCCAAACACCTCAGTATTCCATTTTTTTAGTTCTATCTTAAGCTGCTTTAGTTTTTGTAAAAGTATGTACCCAGTCCAGTCAACAACAGTAATGTTGTTCTAGGTATTGACAAAAAGCTTAGAAACGTTGGGGTGCATAGTCCAGGCATTGATAAACCTGAAAGGCCTGGGGCCCCAATCTCTTTCATCTTCCATCATCAACAAAGGGCAGTGGTCTAATACTAATCTGGGGGGCCCCAAAAGCTTCAATTTAAAATCAATCAACCATTCAAGACTGAGCAAGACTCTATCAACTTTGTTCAATTTCTTGTTTCTTGGGCATTACACCAAGTGTATTTTCTTCCAAGAAGAGGTAAATCTTTAAGTTCACATTTTTCAATAAACTCATTAAGTTGTTTCATTCCGCCGTCCCTTCTAGAGCATCCTACCCTCTCACCCATGTGCCTGATTTCATTAAAGTTACCACCCAAGCACCAAGGCTTGGGAAATGAAGCCTTGAGCTTTGATAGATTTTTCCAAAGCATGGATCTGATGCTAACCTCATTAGGAGCATAAATATTGACCAATACACAATCAAAAGAGTTATATAATATTCCTAAAAGTAAAATGCACCTCCTGTTGCAGCAGTAAGCAAAAAGTTGGAATACATCAGGGTCCAAATACATAAAAGCACTCAAGCAGTACCTTCAAGTTCCACAGACATATACTCCATTTTCGTACTCTCCCAAAGCCCTCTAACAACATTATCAGAGACCACAACTTTCTTGGTTTCTTGAAAAAAAGCAATATCTATGTGACTATCCTTTAATAGCTTCTTGATTCTACCTTTTTTCTCAGGCTTTCCTAATCCCCTAATATTCCAAGATTTTTTTTTGATCGGCAAAGAAAAACTTTATTGATGAAACAAACAAGGAACGAAAGATTACATCAATAAAAAGGAGTTTGGGGCTTAAAAGCACCCAGCTCCCAGTTGGTGAGAAACCAACAGAAGAGAGGAAAAGAAAAGACAACAACAGAAGGCATTACCCAATTCTGATCAAAACACTAATCAACATAGCCTACACTACTGATGAAGGCAGAAACAGACCAACATCCTTCCCATTCTGATGAAAGCAGACCAATCTGTTGAAACAGACCAAACGACCTTCCCATACTGAAGAAAACAGATAGCTAGCCTTCCCATTTCTGAAGCATGAGACAGATGACTATCCCACAACATCCTAATATTCCAAGATAATAGCTTCATAAAGAAACAAAAACAACACTCAGAATCACCCATCTACAACAACTTATTATTTTGCCTTCCCCTCTTTGTTGATTCTCTCTTTGTCCTTTATCTTTAGGTCAATAATCTTGTTTAATGCAACATCCTCTTGCCCATTGTAATTGATACCAAAAGTTTTTCCCAATTGGATAATGGTTGTGGCTTCTTGAAGGAGGTAATTGTTCAGACTTGTTTCAGCTTCAAATAGATCTAAATGAGCAATTGCAGCTGTTGCTGGTCTGTATATGGCAGACTTGGAGGTGGGTTTGTTGACAATTTTGTGCCCATGGAGTTTAGAAAAGCTAGTAAACCCCTCAAGCTGGGCCTTTTTTTTTCCCCCCCATTTTCTTCACATTCCGCAGGGGTTTAGATATAGCAACAGGTGGCCTAATTTGGCCTGAATGATTTAGACTCAAAATGCCCTTCTTATTTAGACCTTCAGTAAATAGTGGCCTAGAGGAGGCCTTATGAGAGTGACACAGAGCCAAAATCCCATTGCTACCAAGCCTGATATCACAAGGCTCAATGAGCCTGGAAGAAGGACCATTATCTAGGTTGTTACATATTGATTGGGCCAAATCCACTTCAAGATTAACGCCAGGCTAGAGACCCTCTGTAGATCCACTTAAACTTTTTATGAAACCAGGTTTAAAGACTTGCTCAACACACCTCTGATTGCCATCATTACTTTTAGGTCTGTGAACTGTCTCTTCCAGCATCATTACCTCTACACACACTCCCCTCTTGCTGCTGCATCCTCCATCCCACTTTGTCTCCTCAACTGCTGTGCTTGCCTTCTCTCTAATGTGACAAGCAGTAGGTTCCTTCCTCGGTACTACCTCATTAGTGCATACCAACTCAACAGCAAGCTTGTCATGCGCTGCTGCCACCTTATTATCTTCTTTCTTCTCCCGGTAACCCTTCTCTAGGAAAATTCCTTCCTCTTCACTGGAACAAATATCATTGGAAATGCAATCTTGCATACTAATATGCTTCATGGTACTAAGGTCTGCTATATGAACTTCACACACAAGAATGGGATGGACTTTACCCTTATACTCTAACAATATAGTTTTGTTTATAAGCACCATACATTATGTAACCACTCTGATTTTGGCATAAGAGAAAGACTTTGGTTGACAAATATCACCGTCCAAATTGAGAACAATACCCCAAATACTTCCAATGCTGTTGAGTGTGTTTCTATTCCAGAAATTTAAGGGTATACCATAACACTTCAACCACAAACATCTCTCTTGTTCGTAGTAGAAATCTGGCTTCCATTCCACCATAAACTGGCTCCAATCCTTGAACCATTCTTTAATATTGCAGATATTAGATTTCAGCTCCTTTGGAGATTCAAAAGTTAATACTACATCATGGCCTCCCCTTTTTCCGTCTATTACCTGATCCAGACCATTCTCCTTCAAAGCTTTTCCAATGTCATGAGTGGAATATTCAGCATTAAGTCTGAGTATTGCACTTTCATAGAACCATCCATCACCAACTTCATCAACTTTTATGGTCGTGCTTACATTTCCAGCTACAATGGTTGTTTCTCCTTTTAGTACCTCTGTAAAGGATCTTTGGCCTGTATATGGAACTTTACCCCTGATGCTATTTGATTGAAAGAATCTTCTGGTGCTCTGTGGTCTTCTTCTATTTTGTTCATCTCTGTTACCCCTGTCATAAGTAGCATTTTTTACTTTTATTACCTTGTCATCCACCAACAAACCGTTCGCTTTTTAGATGGCAATGTCTGCTACAACAAGGCAATCGAATCTCACAAACCCGAATCTTGAGTTTGTCACTATTCTTCTTTTATTAAGAGGTATAAAAACATCTTTCAGAATATCAAACTTTGTGAAGAGTTTAAACAGTGATTGAACATCCATTGTTGTTGGTAGATTATCCACGAATACTGTAAAGAGTCCATGATTTGCTTCTTGCTCCACCTCCTTTTTGTTGTCTCACTATTGAAATCCAACCTCCATTACATTTTTCCATGGCAGCTTTACTCTCTCTCTCTTAGGAGTTCCGTTGAAAACCTTAAATTGATGGAATATTCAATCTTTTCTGCTGAGATTCATCTTTATAACACTTCTTTGTCTTCCAAGAAAATTAGATCAGTAAAAAATGGTTCAACTCTCCCAAGGTTTTAATCTGACAACAAACCACTGACGTTCGCGAATCAAAAAAAAGGTAATTTATACTCACCTCCTTGAGATTTGAAGAAAAAAAATAAAAATTAAGAAGAAGACGAAGACGAAGACGAAGACGAAGTTAATCTTACACTTTTGGTGTAATTAAATTGACATCTTTTACTAAGGCTAAATGACCAGAATTAATACATTTTATCAAGATTAATGGTAAAGTTTATAAATAATTGAATTTTATTTTTAAATTGAATTTATGTTCATTTATTTTTAAATTGAATTTACTAAGGCTAAATGACCAAAATTAATACACTTTTGGTCCATTTATTTTTAAATTGAATTTATGTTCAATTTCTTAATGAATTTTATCAATTGGAGAATTAACAAATAAGTTGAATTTTGATTTTTTTTTATTTATTTATTAAGATTAATGGTAAAGTTTATAAACTCTAATTATAAAGTCTTAAATTTTTCCATGCATTTGTAATTATTTTTGAAAAGTTGACGTGATTTGTAATTTTTCCTTATCAATTGGACAAAATTGAGAAACCATGAAAATTTAAATTGTAAAATTGATACAATCAAAATTAGAAAAATGATATATAAATTCACTTTTTAAACTTATTTTCTAAACTTAATGACCTGTAAGTGAGATGAATGATTAGTAATTAGAGAAGATATGAGAGAGAGAGAAATAATACATGAGAGTGATTGATTAATTAATCTTTAAACTTAAAAATTGAGTTTAATTTTTTAGTTTGCATAGCACTCTTAAATTGACACCCATGATAAATTATAAGGCCACTTGTATAATTTGCCTAGGAGACTTAGAAAAAGAAAAAGGAGAAAGAAGAATGGAAAACTAATCCATAATAACTCTACTGTTGATGCATAATTCTGTATGTGATAAATTAATATATTTAGATAAAAATAAAAGAAAAGAGACATAAGACAGGCTTGAAGAAAGAGTTAATCATAATAAGCTCTTAAAAAACTGTATGCTTTACAGATTTGATGGGTTCTAATAAGGGACATTCTGCTGATAAGAGAGTTCATGAAAATCCAGCTACTCTGTATTCTCTCTAGGTCATTGCTCCTATTAACCACAATATCCCCCATTTTGAACTTGGAGAGAGAGAGAAAGAGCAGAAAAACACAAAAAGAGAAACCAAAATGAAAATAAAAGATTCATTCCCTTGCAAAACTAAATCCAAAATGCAAAAAGGGATTGGAAAACTTCCAGTTCATATCTAACTTCTTGTCACATTTCTAGTTTCCTTTGTTAATATTATGTAGATACTAGTAAAGACACCAACAACATGAGACCCCATTCAATCCAATCCACAGCTCCAAGCCAAACTAGCTGAGTATGTACCCCTGACCCTCTAAAAGTTGTTCCCATACCTGTAGAAAAACCAAAACTTCTTTACTTTCTTGCATAACCCTTTTGTCACTTTTTTCTGATTCTCTCTCTCTCTCTCTCTCTCTCTCTCTCTCTCTCTGTGACAATGGTGTGTGTGTCATAGAGCAGATTGAAAACTTGGACTCTCACTCAAAAATATTTTAGAAACCATCTTGAAACCGATTGATCGATGAAGGATCCAAATGTTTCTGTGTCCCTGTGTAGCTCCGACCCCAATTTAATCCTTCGTCCTGATTGTTCAGTGACACGTCTCTAGCACCACCACCACCACCGCTTCCGCTACCAGGTGGGAATGCATATCCGACTGGAGCACCGATGCAAGTGTAATTAGTATCCGGTGGTGGTGGTGGAGTGGCATAGTTAGGGTTCAGGTGACCGTATTGAGTGTTGCTGCCAGAGAGAGCGTGGCCTACGATGTAGTCGTTGGTCTGATAGGAGACGAGGTGTGACGGAGATGTGTATATGTATGGCTGATGATGGGGTGGCGGTGGTGGAGGTTGTGATTGTAAGAGGGTTGAGGAAGAACCAGAAAACAATCTTGTTGGGTAGGCTGGTCTGAAAGGTAGTGTTGGATCACCCATGTTGCTTGTTTGATGATAGCCTCCTCCATGTGGAACTGGTTGGCAACTGCTAGGATTCATACAATTAATTTAATCAAACAACAAACAGGAGAGAGAGAGAGAGAGAGAGAGAAGATTATGTGGTGTTAAATGATGAAGATTGAAGATATCAAATGGGTATTTACTTTAGTTCAATATAGTATATGGGTATCTCTATGCTTGTTGCTAAAATGATTTTAAAAACAATTAACAAATAAGAAAATGAACTTTGGATTCTTGAAATTAACAAAGAAATCATAAAATAAAATAATCTTGAAAAAGAGAAGATCTATCTCATATTTGTTTATCTTTTTTTTTTATGCTATAAAGATCTTGAAAAATAGAAGAAATAAAGGCGAAGATTAGCAAAAGAGAGAAAGAAACTACAAAAAGTATACATATATATATATAAGATCTTGAAAAATAGAAGAAATAGAGGTGAAGATTAGCGAAAGAGAGAAAGAAACTAAAAAAAGTATACATATATACATACATACCCTAGGTGATGAGCAGCTTGGGCTGCCAGGTTATCGTTACTAAAGACCAGTTGACGAGCCCGGTTCAGTGTTTCTGTCTCCCTCTCTGATCAACAAACACCCAAATCAAATCAAATCAAATCAAAATCAACACACAAACCCTAACAAACCTCTCACCAACAATTTCAGCAACAGTAACAAAGTGTTTGACATGACCACGCTTCATGTTCATCTCAAATCATTAACACACAACACAACACAATAATCCCTTCTTCTCTCAATATAATAATGATATAATTAAAAGAAACCCTTTTTTTATTTTTTTAAATGGCCTTGTTAACAGAGTCATATATATATATATATATATATATCAGATAGTACTACTAGCCTTGGCGATGGCGGTTCATGTGTCCACCAAGGGCTTGAGACTTGCAGAACTTGAGGGAGCAAAACCTACATTCATAGACCTTCTCACACTCGTCTTTTCCATCCTTAGCGCCGCTTTTCTTTTTCCTATAGCCTGCAACAAAAATGCCTTTTAAAGCAACTCTGATGAGACTAATCTTACACACAAACCCCCCAACCCTAATTACCCTATAATCATCAATCAATGTAGTAGTAGTATATTCAAAACCCACAATTTCATTTCTTTAAAAGCTTCCAAATATAACTAGGGTAATGAAGCAAAAATGGATTGAATCCATTTGAATAGCTGTAGCTGCCCAAAAGTTTTTTGAGATCTCATTAAAAATCAAAAAGAAACCTTACTTTATTGGACATTTTCAAAAATCGAAGGCTTGAGCAATGAGAATATTTGGAGATTTTTTCTCCATGTCCTTAGACAACGGATTAAATGGCCTACTTATTAAGCCAATTCTCTTGAAAACCTTTTTTAAAACTTTTCCCTCTTTCAAAAATTTAACAAACCATATGTTTTCCAATTTTTTATTTTTTTTTTTATTTTTTCATTTTCTTGTTCCCCAAAGATAGAAATAGAAAGTGATAAGAGAGAGAAATATAACCATTACCAGCAGATGAAGAGCTTTCTTCAACAACCTGTTTCCCATCTCTACTATAATCATCAGGCAAATTGTTGAGGTCTAATGGGTTTCCCTCGGGTCTCCTGAAAATTAACAAAGTGAAGAGGAAAAAGAAAGAGAAAGTAAAAGAGTTAGAAGAAGAGATAGAGATAGAGAAGAGAAGCAGGTGTGAAATTTGTGGGGGTGAGACATACATGGTATGGTACCACCGACAGAGAAAGACAGAAAAATATATGAGGTGAAAAACTTTAAATGGGATGGGAGACAATTAAAGCTTGGAAAATTATAAGACTTCAGTTTGAGACTGCAATGTAGAGGCTAGTCTTGAGTGATGGTGAAGAAAAGGAGCTTGAAAGTTCTCTATCAGTTCCTCTGCCAACCTCTCTGAAGACATTTCTCTCTCTCTCTCTCTCTCTCTCTTATTGAAAGAACAAGGGAAGGGACAGTGGGTCTCGTGACTTTAAAAAGGAGAGTGGTGAGGGGAGAGGCTTGGGGAGATCGATGGGTATCAGGATCCTCTAGAATAAAGAATCCTGAAGTGATCTCTAGAGTGAGAGATCTGACGGCTGAAATCAAAACTAACCAAAACGACGTCGTTTTGGTTAGTAAGTGAAAAAAAAAAAAAAAAAAAAAGAGAGATAGAAAAAAAGAGTTTGGTTTCAAAAACACAATCTCTGTTTCTAACGCTTCCCCATTTTTAGCCTTTCCTTCCTATTCAACCCAAAACCTTTTGATTCTTATTCTTTATTCCTAAGTTCATGAACTACCCATAAAAAATATGAGGACTCAAAACCAAAACATAGTAAGTTGGGTCATCAATTTTCTTTCTTCAAACCCATTTCTCAATCAATCTCCAACACGGAAGACAAAGACCCAGATTTTTCTTCCCCCAAACTCCCCACAATCACCAAGGTATAACAATATTCATTTTGCCCTTATTCTATTTAAAATAAATTTTTTTATTATTTTTTCAGTGAATCAAGCATAAAAACAGAGTTTGATTAATAACCCATTTCTAAAGTGCTCTGTTTCTTTTCTGTGAATAGGTTGTGGAAGAGCTGAAAGAGCTATGGAGAATGGCTTTGCCAATAACAGCAACAAACGGTTTAATGTGAGTATAATCTGTAAAAATGTTTTTGAAATTGTCTAACTTACTTTCATGGCTGCCAAGAAGAAGAGAGAGAGTCTCTCTATTAACGTAACATAGGAAACCCTCGTTTTTGCGATTTGCTTGGATTTCGAAATTGGGATTGACCATATATACCGTTCGCGTGATTTGGGGGGAAATTATAAAGATTGAGTGGGCAATTTCCATTTGTTGCTGTGATTAGTTGGGCAAATGTATTTGTGACAGGGCAGATCGTGGACGACGACGAAACCCTAGTGTTCATATTTCGCAGTCCTTGGTTGTAGGCGTATAGTTATGGCCGAAAATGGTATGTGCCATATCTTTATGCTGTAATTCTTGTGTGACAATGTGGATTGTGAGTGTTTGATTATTCGGTTTGATTACCCAATTGCAGTTTTTTTTTTTTTTTTATATATTTATCTATTTATTTATTTTGATGTCCCTTCTTGATGTAATATAAGTTTGAAAAATATTTGACACCTTCAATATGTACTAACTTTTGATTTGTTACATATTCAATGATAGTGGCCCCAACTTCATGACACATAATTATTAGTGAATTTGTAAGTATAAATGTGTAGGTCTTTAGCATTATCAAAAAAACAAGTTCAAGTACACTAGAACTAATAGTATCATGACTTTTTACGAAAAGATGTGCAAAAAGTAGAGAGAAAAGAGAATCTTTGACTTTTTGGTATCGGTTGTTGGCTTTTTGGCTAATTTAGTAACTTTTTGACTTTTTGGTTAAAATGGAGGGTTCCCAAACAAGGCCTAAGGTAAATTACATTAATCTTTCTTGAATTTTGAAGAAAATATAATAAATTTTATGAGTTTGACATAATTATATTGAATTCTCTTAAAATTTTAATTCACATAATACTTTTTTTATTTTATCAAAAGATACATTTATTTCAATTGACATAATACTTGAGTAATAATACGCTTTATGGAAAAAAAAATATATCAAGAAAGTTTCATAAAGATTCTCCATCCTTGAATTAGTTTGTGGGGTTTTATTATGTGTTATGCAATGACATACACTAAGTTACAACTTATCAATTATAGAGCACTATAAGACAAAGCTAAGTTTATACTATTTGCAAACTAAAATTTTAAAATTAAAACATACTTACATTAATGTAAGTTGTTTTTCTTGTTTTGTTACCTACCACACTAGATTATTTCTAAAAATTCTATGAAGTTTTTCTTGATATTTTTTTATGATACCTAGCATTACTCCATAATATTTAGTCTTATTTTTATCAATAATTGATAGAAAAATGATATTATGACCTCTTTTACATTAAAATATATATTTTATCTTTATTTATCATGTGCCCATTGTTAAGACTACTAAGCTAACAAGGCCTGAACATAGTTCAGGTGCAGTCTCAACTTCAGCTTCAGCTCAATCCACACTTCAGCAACAGTTGCAGAAGCAAGCCACAGTTGCAAAAAGTAGTTATGCAGTCCACGTGTGCTGAAAGATATGGCAGTTGTAACTAACTTGTGATATGCAAATCTGCTAGAGATTCTAGAAGAATGTATTAGACTTCTATATATAGATACTATCTTGAGAGAATTGTAGTGTGTGTAAGAGAGCTATCAATGAATGAAAATATCTAAATGTTGAGTATCTGTATTGAATTCTAACTTTCCACATGGTATCAGAGCTTCAATCTCTTGCGAGTTAATCCTCATCTGTGTTTTAATTCGTCTTCATATTCCAGTTAATTCAATGTCTTCAATTCCTTCTAATCTTTCTCTTCTAATTTCCAATCTGTCTTCGTTTATCACTGTCAAACTTGATGCTTCAAATTTTTTGATTTGGAAAAATCAAACTCAGAATATTTTGAAAGCTACTGATTTACTTGGAATTGTTGATGGTACTTCACCTTGTCCATCCGTCATAATCAAAGATGATTCTGAATCAAATGTTGATAATCTTGTCTATTTCCAATGGAAACTTGAAGATGCACATCTTTTTAGTTGCATAACTGCAACTTTATCACCTGCAATCTATTCCACAATGCTTCATCTTCATAGCTATTCTGAGGTTTGGAGTGCTTTGCACAAAAGGTTTACTGCACTTTCTCGATCTCATATGCATCAACTCAAGAACAAACTGAACAGTGTTACCAAGAAAACTGATTCCATTAAGGCATATCTCACAAATATCAAAGAGTTAATTAGTCAGTTAGCTTTTGCCTCTACATTCATTAATGATGAAGATCTCGTGCTTCTAATCTTGAACGGACTTCATGGAGAATATGATGCATTTAAGACGACAATTAGAGCTCGTTCAGAATCCATTTCGATGGATGAACTGAGTTCTCTGCTTCTCTCTAATGCCATACATGTTGTGTCTAAACACCACAAAGATCATACTGAGCCTATTGTGGCCTTCTCTTATGTTCGAGGTTTTTCGAATTATACCTATCAAAGTTCTGGATCTCGAGGAAGATATTCTAGAGGAGGACAAGGAGGTCATTCATATGGATCAAATGGATCTCAAAATAGTCATTCACAGAATTAGAATCAGAATTTCTCCGGTTCTTCATATCCTTCTAATTCATTTTGAGGAAGAGGTCGATCTGGTTCTTCTCTGACCTGTCAAATTTGTGGAGGCCGTGGTCATGTAGCTTTAGATTGCTGGTATAGAATGGATCCACAGTTTCAGTCTACGACTTCTACATAGAACAATTCAAAGGCCTTTGTTGCTTCCTCTCATACAGCTTCTTCCTCTTCAGTCCCTTGGTATCTCGACTCTACAGCTATTGAGCACATTACACCTGAGTTGAACAATCTTAGTTCTTCTCATCCTTATCACGGATCTGATCAAATAACAATTGGTGATGGTAATACAGTTCCTATTCATCACACCGGTAAAGGATTACTTCCTACACCTCATTTTTCTTTCTGGCTGAACAATGTTTTACATACTCCTTCTATTTCCTCTAATCTTGTTTCTGTTCACAGATTAGCCAAAGATAATAATTGTTCCATTACTTTTGATGATTCTACATTTGTGGTTCAGGACAAGGTTTCGAAGAAAATTCTCCATCAAGGTTCTAATATCAATGGCTTATACCATTTTCATCCATCTCTTTCTACTGCTGCCATCTCACTACCTATGTTGCATGCTCATCTCAGTTCTTCTCATACTGTTGTACCTGTTTCTACTTCTGTTTGGCATAACAGATTAGGCCATCCATCTGTAATAAAGTTGCATCATCTCATGCCTTACTTGTCTGTTTCTAAGTCTGATCATAAGTCTACCACTTCTGATTGTACTGACTGTTGTGTAGCTAAGCGTCATAAGCTTCCTTTTTATCTGTCCAATTCTACCGTAAATGCACCATTTTCCCTCATCCATAGTGATGTTTGGGGCCCATATGCTTCTAGTTTTGGTTACAAGTATTATGTTCTGTTTGTTGATGATTTTAGTAGGTTTACTTGGCTTTATCCTTTGGCTTATAAGAGTGAAGTCTGTGCTAAATTCATGGAGTTTAAGGCTTATGTTGAAATTCAGTTTGCCACTACTTTGCATATTTTACAAACTGATAAAGGCTCAGAATGTTTTACATCCAAAATGAAAACATATTTGACTACTCATTGAATTATTCATCAGCATTCTTGTCCCTATACTCCCTCTCAGAATGGTATTGCTGAGAGGAAGCACAGACATATCACTGAGACAGCTACAGCTCTTCTCCATCATTCTTCTGTCCCTTTGCACTGCTGGTTTGATGCCATAGCTATTGCTACATTTCTTATTAACAAACTGCCATCTTCCAGTCTTAATCACAAATCTCCATTTGAAGTTCTTTTTAAATCCATTCCAGACTACTCCTATTTTAAAACTTTTGGCTATCAATGCTTTCATTAGCTCAAGCCGTATCAGTGTACTAAACTTCAACCCAAATCTATGGCATGTGTCTTTCTTGGTTACCATCCTTTTGCTAAAGGCTACCGGTGTCTTGATACTAAATCAGGAAAAGTTTATCTCTCTAGACATGTTGTCTTTCATGAGCATATCTTTTCTTTTGCTTCCTCATCTTCAACTACTACTTTTATTCCTCATTTACATTCCTTTCTTTGGTCTTCATCCACACCAGCATATTCTTCTTCTCATATTTCTCCAGTGCAACCCCAGGTTCAAGCCTAGCAATCTGCTTCTCAGATACAGAATCAACATTTCTCTCAGTCACAACATCATCAGAATCAAAATCAGCATCATCAGAATCAGGCACAAAATCAAAATTTCTCTGCTCCTTCTCAGTCTCTCAGTTCAGCCACTTCTAGTTCTTATCTTCCCTTTATTTCTTCTCCTTAAGTGTCTCTCATTCCTGGTCAATCTATTGCCATCTAGTTACCTCATTTACCTTTTACTTCCTCTAATATACATCCTATGATCACTAGATTCAAATCTGTTGCATCTCCTTATTGTTTAGCTACTACTAAGTCTATTGCTTCTTTTTCAGACTCAGAACCACCTTCCTACAAAGAGGCCTTACTTTCACCTATCTAGCATAAGGCTATGCTTGAAGAATTTCATGCCTTGCAAAAACAACACACTTGGTCCTTAGTTTCTCTTTCATCTAATAAAAATGCTACTGGATGTAAATAGGTCTCAATGTGAAAAGGAACTCTGATGGATCCATTGCATGATATAAAGCTCGGTTAGTGGCCAAAGGGTACTTACAACAAGAAGAACTTGATTTTCATGAAACCTTTAGCCCTGTGGCTAAGCAACCTACTATTCGAATTTTGCTTTGTCTTGCTCTTCATCATAACTGGTCTCTTAAGCAATTGGATATTTCCAATGCTTTTCTTCATGGCATTCTTGATGAAGAGGTGTTTATGCTTCAACCTCCAGGATATGTAGACACTTCCTTCCCTCCTCATGTTTGCAAGCTTCACAAAGCCTTATATGGTCTCAAACAAGCTCCAAGGGCATGGTATTCCACCTTTCTACCTTCTTACTCTCCCAAGGTTTTGTCAATAGTAAATGCGATTCCTCCCTCTTCATTCAGAGAACTTCCGCCTCAGTCACTTAGTTACTCATCTATGTTGATGATATCTTAATTACTGGAAATAATTCTGTCCATATTCAGCATCTTATCACTCACATTCATAATGCTTTTTCTATGAAGGAATTAAGAAATATTTCCCATTTCCTTGGCATATCTGTTCAGTCTACCAATACGGGGTATTTTCTGTCCCAGAAAAAATATGCTAAGGACATCCTTTTGAAAGCAGGTCTCTCTGCTTGTAAACCTTGTTCCTTTCCTATATCTGTTAAGCCCAGCACTCCTCCAAATGCTTCTCTTCCATTTGATAATCCTGCTCTTTATAGGAGTCTTGTTGGAGCCTTACAATACCTTACTATGGAAAAGTGGTTTGGAAATACTCGTTGGATCCAGTAGAACGCTCGTGATCCTCAGCTAGTCACGTGAAAAAGAATGAACACTCCGATGGATAAGTCAATGTATACTCTCTTGGTTGCTTATATCTTAAGTTAATCTCACTAGTTCTCACATACCTTTCTTTGGCTGATGTTCCTCTATTTATATTTTTCTTTTAGGCCTCAAGATTGGGCCCACCCTTAGTCCATTGCAAGTTTATGTATTCGGCCTCAGTTTGACTTGTTCCTTGGCCGATTAATATATTCGACTTTGGCTTCATCCTGGATGAAGCCGAGTACAAATCCCGTCCGTGACTATCCTCATACCTTTATTCGACTTTATTGCCCCCAAAATATCCGGCTACGACAATTGCCCTCCAAACATCCTATTAACGCCAGTTAGTCGGCATGTTTGGTTTTGAATTTGAAAAGTCAAGGAAGGAACGGTGGTTAACCTCATTCCAACGCATGCCAGAACACGCTTCTCAGGCATCATTACATCTTCTCGCCTCTTCATACGCTTCCTTCATTTAATGCGATTTGAAACTATGTTGTCCCTTCGAGTGTAAGTTTTTTGAATACTCCAAGCTTCTAGTTTGCCTCTCGATATACTTCCATTCCGCGACCTCTGCAACTTCCTCCTGTTTCTCACTGTCTCTTCTTCTTTTTGTAAGTTCTCTTCTCTTTCATTTCAAATCCCATTTCCTTGTTTATTTTTGGTTTCGCATAATCCTTAGATTGGTTAGGATGACCAAACACTTAAAAGAACTCCTTTCACCGGAACGAATTTTTAGTTTCTGACGCCATTATTCCATCCCCGACGACGTCCAACTATCACTCGTGGCAAACAGCACCACTGATATGCAGAGCACTGATAAAAGTACAATTATCTTTCCTCTCTTATCAATTGCTGAGGGCAGAGTCCGTTTTCTCCTTTATCTATTTTTAAGGGCCGTCCTTCGATACTGGGGTCTAATCCCTTCCCTGCCTATTGTAAATTTCTTTCGAATCATAATGGGGATTATAGAGTTGAACCGACGCCTTAGGATTAATCTTCGTATACCTGCAATTCGGCATTATTATGCCTTAGCCAAATCTACTGGCCAACTGGGACGTTATTTTCTCAGGACCAAGGATACCGATCATCATAGTGACCATGCTTGCCAGCTCTAGCAAGCGTGTTGACGATGTCATGGTCGTTGTCCGAGGCAACTAGGAATTCGGTGAGGGTGAGGATCGCCTAGATCCCATGCCAAGGCAAAAAGGCAAACCAGGTGGCCGTATAGCTCATTTTTTTATTTTTTATTGTTATATATTTATTTGGCTTTCCTTCTATGTATTTGTCGTTTTGTTTATGCAGGAAATGATTAGAAGAAAGTTTTGGTTTTAGCCGACGACACTGTACTTACGGAAATTAAAACCGCACTACCATTCTTTGGCCGTTTGAATCTTCAGAAGCAAGGCAGGGCGGCGCATATACTTTTAAGATACGAGCCGACCTACTCCACGTTTTCAGCTGCGGATAACATTCCAATTCCGAGGGGTGAGCAGCAACTTACGGCGCTTATTTTTTCGAACTTCAAGAATCTAAGGCAAATCGGTCTTGAAGCTTTAGATTCGGAGCCAGCGGCTGAGCAAGTAGCCGAAGTTGCTAGGCAACCGGATCAACCCTCAGACAGTTCCGAAAGACTAGAGTTTGACGCGGCACTGAATTTTTCTTTCGAGGAAGCCGGCCTCAACCCTCCAACTTCGAGCCGACCAGACTTGTCCTCCAAAGATATTTTCACCAACTTAGGGGACCTTCCCGATTCATATCCTGATAACATGGCCAGTGAGTCGCTTACCCAATTGGCCAGGAGGAAAAATGCTGAGAGGATGGTTGCACGCAAGAAAGCCGAAGCTGAACGATCTCAGCCTCCACCCCCCCCCCTCCACCCCCTTCACCTGAAGTTAGGACTGAGTCTACACCACTTGCTCCTGTTGAAGAGACGGCTCATGCTGATACGGCTGAAACTGAGCTTCTTGTCGATCAACCAGAGGGCCAAATGTCGAAGCAACAAGGGAAAAAGCGTCCAGCCGAGACCAAAGATTATTCGAAAAACCTAGTTGATAAATGGCCACACATAGAAGAATCAGACCTGGTTGTGCCATTTACAATATAACCCAATGTAAAAAACGTGTCGATTGCTTCTGATGCATCGGCCGTGAAAGATACTGGGGTGGCCTTTAGCTTGGCCTCCTCAGTTTCGTTGCCGGTTGATAAGGTGACCTTTCAGGCAGAACCTGATCTGTTGTCCATAGCACTAGCCGCTCAGTCGGCGATATTAGTATATGTCTTAATCCTTGGTTCTGCATCAAAAACTAAAGAATTTTGTATATCACCTATCTTATTGGTTCATTGGTTTATAGGCGGCAGGGAGGATAGCAGAGATTAGTCGTCGCCAACACGACGCGATCGAGCAGATCAGCCATCTGATAGCCGAAGTGGAAGTTGAAAAGAACAATGTAGCAGAGGCCCCTTGCCGAGCGACGGAAGAAAAAGCGAGGGTCGATGCCGAAGCTGACAAGGCCAAGAACTTTGATCAATTGAGATTGGTCGCTGAAGGAAGAGTAAACACGAACGAAGAGGCGCTCAACTTGGCCAACGAAAGGACATCCAAGCTGGAGGCCGACTTGGATGATTTGAAGAAGGTGAAGAAAAAAACCGAATACGAGACATCCAAGGCCTTCCAAGCCGGCAAGGACGCAGCCTTAGAGAGCTATGTCAAAGAAGTGCCTAAATTTGAAAATAGGGGCTTCAAACACAGCTAGCTCAAAGCCTTAGCTATAGCTAATGTGATATCGAAACAGCCGATTGAATACGAGCAGGTAGACGTTGAACCGCTGGAGTCTGACCCTGAAAACTAACCTAGGCCCAGTGATTTTTGTTTTGTTTTGGTATCCGAATGTATGTAGGTTTTGTTAGATTTTGACTGTATTTTGGTTAGAAGTTTTAGGGTAGCTTTCAAGTGTAAATTGACTTCTGTTTGTACTCAATTTATGAATGAAAATTGCCTTTGCTTTTCATCTTATTGAATGTGCGTGTTAACAGCCAAGTAAAATGTAAAATCATGAAATAAGTTTTAACGAAACTATTAAATTAATTCGGCGATAAATTAACTGCTTAGTTTCCAGCCTATCTTTTCGGCGGAAAGGATTGATGTTGGGCCAAA